CGATGAGCGAGCGTACAGGAGGCCGACGGCAATGGCGGCCAATTTCCAGGTGGTCGCAAAGCACAGGCGAACTGCAAATGCCGAAGCTGACCTTCGCGATGCGTTTCGTGTGTGCGATATGCAACAAGACTGAACCGTTGCCGGTAAGCGTGATCCGTAACGCACACGCGACAAATAGACTAGAATTTAGGACTCGTACTCACATCAGACTTTAAATGGAATGAACACATAGAATATATTGAAAGAAAGGCAATGAAAAAGCTTGGCTATTTGCGAAGAAGGCTTGTGAATACCGCACCACACATAAAACTTCTCGCGTGCAAAACTTTCATTAGACCAATATTCGAATATGGGGCTGCAGTGTGGGACCCCTTTACTGAGTCCAATATTAAAAAATTAGAAATGGTCTAAACTGTCCGATTTGTTTTTAATTGTTATAGTTGGCATGCTTCCCCTTCACTTCTTCTAATAAAAGCGGATCTTGAAAAACTGCAGGAGAGAAAAAGAGTGGAGAGGCTGAAGCTTTTTTACCTTATTTTCCACAACAAAATTGGTATCAACAAAACACTGCACATTACACAAACAAGTGAATCTGCTGTGCACTCACATCATTCGGAGAAAGCTTCAGATTGCGTAAACCGCACAGACACATTCAAGTATTCATTTTTTCCAAGAACTATGAACGAGCGGAATTGCCTATCACCTGATACTGTGCGGTGTCCAACAGTTGATTTATTTCTACATGCTCTCAATAACCACTTAAAGTTTTTGTGTACAGTCATGCAACCCAGAGTTACGCAAAGCTTCCATTTTTAGTACGTTTCAGTGAGCAAAGCTATGCCATTGTTGTAATTTTTTTCTTTACTTTTTAGTAAATTAATACAAAAGTGTTGAATTGTAACCACTGTCAGTATGCTGTGTGATGTTAATTATGTTTTTTGTAGTAAACATTTCTGTGTGCCCATTCCAGCTTGAGACCTGGTAAACAGGTCAGCAGTATGTAACAAATGAATAAATAAATATATAAATAAAAAAATTAATAAATAAAGAATGGTAACCTGTTTGCTTAAGAATCCAGCCCTGACCTGATTTCTGCCCCGAGTCGGACCGAACTATATATCCGATGGGCCTGCTGTCTTCCCGCCCGCCATATTGGCCTTCCCAACTGTTTATGTCGTGTTTTGGTCGGGACTATTTTGAAGCCAGAGATATACAGAGCGGCGTGGTGACGTGTCGAGACTTGCTCCAGACTTCATAGGTGCAGTGAAACGCAAAAGCAGCAGCCCACGCTCATCCAAGCGTACACACAGGCACCACGTCGTAATTCTTAGATCGCCAAATCCAGGCGGCCGTGGTAGAGCACTCCGAGCACGACGCAAACCGTCGCCAGCAAAATACGGGGAAAGACTGAGCCAGCAGAGGAGAAGACGGACGGCTAGTCACCTTGGCAACGCTTTTCGCGCTGCCTGCAATCCCCGGGCGGTTCATCCCTTCGGAGCGTGTTCGGAGACCAAGTAGTTTCGCGCGGCACGCTTCCGTCTGTCGTGGCTCCTCAACGGTCTATTCGTTCATCGCACGTGCCTACTGGGCTCCGTTGCTCCTTCATCGGGTAATTTTGCCTTAGAGTGTTGCGGCGGTTAAATGTGGGAACTACACACAAAGTACAGGCCGTAAGAGAGTGCGCGCATGCCGCTGCTCTACTCCGGCCGTGCCACCTCTCGTTTAGTCCTCGGAATGTCCGCTGGATGGCGGTACTTCTATATGATGAACATATGATGAACAGATGCGATATGGTGGTACTTGGAGTGCTCACTAAATGCACGCAAGGAAGGACATACATATGGATAGGCGCACGGGCGGACGCTAGAATGGACGAACGGAAGGACGGATGGACGGATGCACGTACATATGGACGAACGCAGGGACGAACGAAGCGACGCACGGACGAACGGATGGACGGAAGCAAGAACCAATGGACGGAGAGAAGCGCAGACGGACTGAGGGATGCTTCGCCCCACTCCTCATGATGTACTCGGTGAATATGCCGCAATTTTTTTAATGCGCCGTCCTTCTAGTGCATTCTTTCTGCAGGACGCTGAAGGCTGTGTGTCGGCATTCTGTGGATAGTTCCTCTTATGCCCAGCAGATGGCGAAGGACGCGGCGTTGCCGGAATTACAATAGGTATGATGTTGTGAGAGGAATATGGAAAGGGGTCATGGTTCCTGGTCTGCCGTTCGGCAATGCGGTCTTGTGCATGAGATCAGAAAATCAAGCAAGATTAAAAATTAAGAAACGTGGAATAGGTAGGCTTGCCTTAGGAGCTCACGGGAATACACCAAATCAGGGAGTACAAGGCGATATGGGATGGACATCATTTGAGGGCAGGGAAGCTAGCAGCAAGATAAAATTTGAGAAGCGATTGGGAGAAATTGGGGAGGAGCGTTGGGCTAAGAAGGTATTCAGCTACTTGTACATGAATAATGTCGATACAAAAGGGCGGAAGCGAACCAGAAAATTTACTGGTAAATACTTGGAAAACAGCGGGGGGCCAAACCAAAAAGCATTATCGGTTAAGAAGAAGGTGAAGGAAGCTGAGACCGATATGTGGAGAATCGCCATGATTAAAAAGTCCGTACTAGAGATCCATCGAACTTTTAAGCAGGAAATAGCCAAGGAAAAAGTCCGTGATAATACTCGGCGTAGTTCTCTACTGTTTGAGGCCAGGACGGGAGTATTGCGAACAAAGACTTATCGGGCCAAATACGAAAGGGTAGACACGGTATGCAGTGCGCGTGGAAAAGAAGAAGAAACTGCAAACACTTCATAATGCTCTGTAAAGGGCTTCACCCTGTAGTTCAGGTTGATGGCGCAGAGTTCTTCAAAGCACTGGGGTTTAGGGACAGTGAGGGAAAATAGACTTTAAGCGGGTAGAATTAACTAGAAGGAGGTTATCTGATTGGTGGCTAAAGTCAAGGCACAAGTGAAAATTGAACCCTTCGCTGCAAAGTACGAATCCTCAACCTCGCTATTTAAGGGGAAAAAATCTAGGTTTTGGTTCATTAGGTATTACGGCTTGGTGGCGCTAGCCACCACCCGACCTAAAGGGTACAACCACATCCATCCATCCATCCATCCATTCATCCATTCATCCATCCATCTGTGTCATGTTTACACAGTGAGGCGGCGTAGCAGTCGCACAGTTACGCGTGATTCTTGTAAAGGTCATTGCGTTGTCCATGTGGTAAGAAGCGTAGGTTTCCCAATTAACCTGCAGAAAAAGGAGCTGGGAAGGAAGGTAGTCAAATATGGATAGTGTGTGCATTCCATCAAGTGCAATGGTAAAGCTCTTGTTGTGATCCAGGCTTGGACATTTACGCAAGCGAGAACAGCGTGCACGTAAAGACGGTGAGGTGCGTCAGCTATTACACTTGGATACATAGGGAATGAGACAGTGGAAATAAAAAGAAAACGAGCAGAAATAGCACCAAAAAATGATACCGTAATACGAGAGCTCTTTAAGTCTGTCTCTTAAGACCTGTTCTTTGTAAAAAAAAAACGCAACATCACTTTCACCGCCTTCTGCGCCGAGGACGGACTGGGTCATAGTCACAGAACGCTTCCCATAAGGCCGATAGTCAAGTATATGAAACACATGAATGCTTGATGGAACGTTATTAAGCGCTCTCAGCGACGCGTGCTATTTGGCCGCACTGAAAATAGGAAACTCTAAAAAGAAATGGCCAAGTGTATTCTCGAAGATTTAATTTTTGCATGTGCGTTTCTTCATTTCTAACCAAAATAAGTGCGAGAATAATTCAATCGACTAAGGCCCGTATTCACAAACCAACATCAACCTTTCCTCGAGTTTTCCTTATCAGTTTTAAACAATTATTGCGCATTATAAGCACATTGAACTAGTATTCATAAACCAGTCTTGTCCTTATCTCTCGCCCTGTTACCATTTTTGTGCCTTTATAACGCTTGTAAAGAGTACAGGAAGTTGAGGAAAACGTGAGGTAAGGCCGAAGTTGGTTTGTAAATACGGGCCTAAGAACCTCCAAGCCATTCAATAAGGTTCTCGTTAGAGCCTGTAAAGGATTTCGGCTATGCTTCTCACGTTTTCCCAACAAAGTGACTGTTCTTAACGCCAACAGGTAGGAGCGTCAGATAATGCGGGGGTTTTATACATATTAAAGTTGATCACCCCGTTCGTGCGAACTAGTATATATTGCTGTCCGCACAACAATGTGAAGTCAACGCATTGCATAAGGCGCATCACATTTCCACCTTTGCAACAGGCACGCTCACCTGTGCGGTTCTTTCGTGCCTCGCGTTTTGTACTGGTTATGCCGGGTTGCGCATTTGTAATCTGCAGAAGGTTCAACGCATGGCAACCGCAGCGGCGCGCTATTGGTCACACTCTCGCAGAGACGCCGCCACGACGTGTGCCTAGCAACGGCCGCCGCGCCTCATGACGAAATACTCTCGTTCTCGGAGTGCGCCCCTGTAGGAATCCCTAATGGCCGTTCCTTTCAGCGCAGATGGGAAGAAAAGGCTTGCGCTGTTTTGTTCAATGCCCGTGGTATTTTCGTCTCCGCCTGTGCACCGTGGACTGCTCGCGCGTTGACTGAGAAAGAGGCGCTTGGCGTGGCGTTGGACTAATTTGTGGTCTAGTGTGCATTTTTCGTGCGCGTGATTTTTTTTTAATTCAGTGAACATTTGTGTTGACGCCTGCGCCTTTTTTGCGGCCTTGGCCCTTCAGCAAGAAGTGATCGGCCGTTGTGTCCTACTGTGCGATTTTTTTTTATAGTGAACACGCTTGCCTTTTAAGTATATTTGGTGCCGCCAGTGTCTTGAGCCCTCGCCTTGTCGCTCGACGCGATCGCCTTTGTGTTGAACTACTCGCCTCCCCTTTTTTTTTTAACTTAGCGGCGCGGATTGCTCTGGTGACCACGTGTTTCAAGACGTGATCGCCGCGATCGCAGTGTGTTGCGCGGCTATGGCTAGTGAAAGCAGCGCATGTGAAACATCGGCGCACAGCGCGATCGAATGCGTCAAAGACAATGAGAGCTCATCACCTGACGTCGACGTGCTTCGAGCAAACATCACCGATGAACGTCACGCCTGCAGCTGGGTAGAAGACTACGGCTTGAAGACGAATACGTCATGGGTTGTACACTTCGTCAAGCCAACAGCAAAGTGTGAAAGGTAATGCAAAAAATGATGTTATAACTTCAAAAATAACTTACGTCGTCTCTGGTGATAAAACTTCATGTTTTGCGGATAATGTCCAACGATGCGCCGTCTCAATGGTTGTAGACAACGTGGATATGATCGGTACGAGAGGGCTAGACTCCGCTCATTCAGTGACATTTCTCAAATATATAGAAATAACGAAACGCGCATTCGCACCGCCTAGCCGCAAACTGGACACCCTTCAGGTGATTCACCGGAGTTGCCTTCAAACCAAAACTTAATGCACTTACAAGTGTCCTCGCATGGAGGGCAGAATAGAGTGCATTTTTCTTTTTCTATGTTCTGGGACTGTGAAATAGTTGAGAAAAAAGTTGTATTACCCCCCCCCCGCACCCCCAGATGAACTACAGGCACAGTAGAGACTGCAGTGACTAGCTTAGGTCCCCAATACCAACTTTTAACTTTGTGCCGATTCCAGGAAGCTATTGTGAGAGTGTCTCTCTACTCCCCCCCAGTTTGGCTAATACAAAAGCAATTCATTAGCAAAATATTTAGTAAAATTGTCTCACTCACCAATTACAGTGCCAGAAAACTAATTTTTTTTTATTGATTGAATCCTCTTTTCTTGGAATTGTGAGAGCATCAAATGTTTACCATAAAGTTCCAGCTTGCACAAATAAGAGCTGATGGTCACAATAAATTCAAATACAGAGTTTGTGCAGGCTTTACAACTGTGATCTCTTGTTCAAATTTCAAGTGTTGTGGCAAGCCTTTAAGATGTGTCCACGGTAGCTAGTAGCTTTGCAGCAGGATTGGCATTTTTCGTGATTTATTTATCCTAACGATGACAATGCAGTCACTGAACAAGTGAAAATGAAAACTCACGAGAGAAACCCTGAGATCTGTAAGAGCCCCTTGATTACTACTAGGAACCTGTACTAGTCCCGAAACGTCTCTCATTTGTTTTCGCCTAAACTTGTTGAGTGACTGGAACTTTATTATCATGTTTCCTCACCATCTGAACTGTCGTCAAACTCTAACCTACAAGCTGAAAATGTCTTAAATGTACGTCGGTCATGCATGAAGTGAATTTAATGAGTGCATTTTTGGCAGGTTTGTTGAGTTAATCCTTTCAGATGCCACCTGTGAAGAACTGCCTGTAAATGTGTCAAACTGTCACATGATTGCAAGGCTGTCTATATTTTATTGCAACAATAACTTTATAATAGATTGATTTAGGCATTTCATAGCAGTTAATTGAAATTGAGCTTTTATGAAACATCTACTTATTCTAAAGACATTCATATTTGATTCTTGCATATATAGAATGAAATCTCAGACCAGATATATACTGGATATTGGTTTCTTATTTTAACGATATTGAGAAAAGAAAAAAGATATTTCGAAGTGGCTCCAGCGAAGCGCTGCATTGAATGACTCGTCGACTATGGTAGTGCTTCTGGAAAAGTGATTATATGCAACAGTAGTGTGAAAACTGAAGTTAAAGACATGTTTATTAGGGAGGAGGTTGATTATTTCATCTAAACTTCATTGTATCTTGCACTTTTTTAGCCCCTAGTTGACACAACTAGCAAAAACAAGTGATGTACACAATTGTGTACAAAGCGTCTAAAAGGGTTAAACGCACTGCAACGAGATTTGTGCAGGTACCTAGTAAGTGCTCAAGTAACTGGTGTATTTTCCCTTTGATCAAATGGCATTTGCAGGCAAAGCAGACCCCTTTCGTTGCTGACACTGAAATTCTAAATTCATACTGCTTTGCAGGATGGTGTTCCACAAAGTATGGCGTTGCAAAGAGGCAAAGCGGGAAAAATCATGTGGTGAGGCTGCAGCACACTGTCCAGCAAAGATTGACCTCAAAATCAAGAAGGTCAACAGAAATACAAAACGTAATGATGCCTTTTTACGTGGGGAAAAGCCACTGCCAGCTGTGATAAAGCTCTTTCATCACAAAGACCACAGCCACAGCACTGCAGCAGCAGACGCACTTTCTCGTCTCACTCCAACAATGCAGACCAGAGAGACCTTTTTGGCCTACTTCGACAACGGCATGTCACCAGCTGAAGCCATCAGGCTTCACGAGAGCAAACTGCTTGTGCAAGAAGATGGGTATGCTCTCGTTGCTAACTCGGCAGTGAACCCATTGCCTCCTGCCATATACTACTGGCACAGGCTCTGGAGAGAAAAAAACTTTGGAAAAGATGTTGACCCCCTCCTAAAGATGGCTGAGAAGATGCCACTCTATGCTAAACATGGTGAGTTGACTATTACAGCACTTCACTTACACCATACGTTCCATACTTGCTACAGCTGTCTAGTGGTTATGGTGCTTGACTGCCAACCCAAAGGTCGCAGAATTGAATCCTGGCTGGGGCAGTTGCATTTTAATGGAGCCAAGATGCTAGAAACCTGTCTGCTTAGATTTAGGTGTGTTTAAGAACGCCAGGTGGGCAAAATTATGGTTGTCTCCGTATATAGTGTCATGATATCGTGGTTTTGAGACATAAAACATTATTATTATTATTATTATATTTGCATTTTTAAAGGCTATTAAAATCCTAAGCCCTAATTTGCATGCATTTTTTAGAAGACTTTTAGTTACAACAGATCTTGAAACCCATTTTCTAAAATGTTGTGTCAGTGCAGCACTTGATTCACAGATTTTGGACACTGCTAAAGCACTAAGAGAGCTGTAGAGGTACCACACATAGCGTTTTCAGTCACAAAAGATAATACATCCAATCTTCTAACAGTTCAGTAAAGTTTACAATATTAACATGAGACATTCATGTAATATTGTGGCCGATGTTTCAAAGGCAATCCATACAAGTTCCCAGAATGAAAAGTCATACATCACGCAGTTGCATATAGTAGAAGCAGAATTATTGCCACTACTCACAAGCTATAGATGACACCCAATGCTAGCAAAAAAGTTCAGCATAGAGTAATGACGAACAGAGCTACTTTCTTTCGTAAAGGGTCATAATGTCATCACCAGGGTGCTGTAACAATGTGTAGCCGATGCAGAATCACATGCCATAATTTTGCTTGTAACGAAATTGAGAAGCACATAAAATCAGTGCACAGAGATCTCTTTATGAAAAAACTATCATTCAGTCCCACAGTGAAAACGGTTTGAATACTCCAACATGCCTCTATATCAATTGCATACTAGGTGTCACTTAGTAAATATGCTTGCCTGTTTATGAAAGTTTCAAGTGATGAATAGATGAAAAAAGTGGAACAAGTTCTGACTATTTATTTTGCTCTATAATATTCACTTCCAGCTTAAATTACTAATTTGTAAATTGCTAAGAACACTGGATAATAAATTTGTGGCAAAACAGAAAATGAGTACCACATCCCAGAGTTTCATTTTCACAAAACAACTGAGTACCATACAAGCTTTTCCAACTATCTCTTGGGCTGACTGCACCTCAGGTTACAGAGTTGCAGGTGGTGCTCCTCTGACTATTACTCATCAATGCTGTACAGTTAGCATTTGGAACTATATGTGGGTTATTAATGGCTTGTCACCAAACATTTGGGTCAACAACAGTTCAATGGTCACAGCACGCTACAGCTGCACCCTGGAGTGCTTAATTCCAGCATTTACATGGTGTGGATGAGATTCTAGCTCGCATCGGCATACAACTTTTCAAAATGATACCATAAAAGCTGTCGTCAAATAAGTGAATGTGGAGCCCCTGCAGCCCAATGTAACACACAATTTTTCATTGAAATAAATACAAAGGTCATACAAATCAATATTTTCATAACTAGTTATTTATTCAGCCGATTCAAGTCTTCAAAAAATATGTCTTCCTGTATTCTCCCTCACTCAACCTTTTTTCAGATGCTTGCTTGAATACCAATGTAAAAAGAATTCTTTACATTGACTGTGCTTCAGTCATGTACCAGTTGCTGTACCTCTTCATGCGGTCATTACTTCTTTCTGCCCAATTTTTCGTCAGAAGCATTGAGGCAACATGCACAGGTCTAACGCCCATGAAGCAAATGACCTGCTATTCACCCATAAGTCATTAGTATCTGTAATTGTTGTGCAGGCAACCTTAGAGTGAGGACCATCTTCTGCAAAATTACTCTGCAGACAGCATTCTCAACTACCTAGTCTTGATAAGAGGTATTTAATGAGCTCTTCCTGCCAGGCAGCACCAGTGCGTGCGCTGCCACAGCCCTGGTCTGTCGGTGATCTGGGTTATGACAGCGTGTTATTTGGTGGCGGTGCACATCACTAACCCATTTTTTTATGAAAATATTAGCAAAACACACACTGCCGAGAACTTTGGTTGTAGAATGATGATGTTTATGCGCGAAAGCACAAATATGCCGAATTCCATGCTAGGGCCTCTTGCATATGACGTCATGTGATTACCTCCATTATGTAAGAATAAGACAGTGTTTTAGTAGATAAAGAGTACTATAGTTGAAACCTTTATAAGAGACACTGATATGAGAGACAAATGGGTATAAGAAACACCAGTGTGCTTAGAGTAAAATACGGATTGACAGGAAAAATGCATATGTGGTAATCTGTATTAAGAGACAAGAATTGCTGCCCGGAGAATGCCACTTATAAAGGGGTTTAGCTGTACTAGGCATGGTATCTGGAGAAAAAGTCAGTATTCTGTAACCACATTTGTATCTTAGCAAAAGGCGGAATCTGATACTTTTGCAGATGGTTACTCACAAGACTGATCCATTCAGTCATTTGACTACTGCATCTCACTTTCCTTGTTTTTTTTAACACTTGGTGGTTGGACCATGCTTACACCCCAAAGCCTTAAAAACAATTGTTCTGGAAGTTGCCCGCTAGCATTTCACAGTGTGCGATTCCCTGATACAGCTCTTTTATAAGCCACTGTGGTAACCATTTCGATTACACTACGAAGCTGCGGCACACCGTAAAAAGTGCGATTGCATCATCCACAGGTTACATCCACAGATACTTAGTGACTTGCCTGCTCTGACTGCAGCAATAGTACCTTGCTGTTAAAATTTGATGCTTTCGACCCAGGAAAGGATGTGGCAGGCTGGCATTTTACCATAAAGCACCAGTGCTAGAATAAAAATTTTTTTGTAGAATGACCATATAGAGGCGTCATGTTGAGCAGTGAAGTGCATTTACAGGAGTGAAATAGCATGGTGAAAGAGTAGAATAACAATCATGAGTCACGCTACGCGAACTGCCTAAGTTTTCCCAGCTATCACGATGTTGCTTGGTGGTGATTGTTCAGCATCATTTGCATTAGCACAAACAAATAGCACATAATGCTTCAAAGATATGTAGTGGGCACCTCACTTTTTTGTAAAATATTGAATAACTGCACAGTGGGTGCTTTCCTAATTGGCAAAAATTATAATGATCTATGGCGTAATAAGTACCCTGTAAGTTCACTGGTAGTTACACCAAGAGAGGTTAGAACGGGGTCTAGAAAGGCTGCTTTTCCAGCTTTTACTGTGACTGAGCTACATGTGTTGTGAATGCCTGGTTCCTTTTTATATATTTTTTTAGAAGAATGATAGTATGGATGCTGCAAGCTTAAAAACAGTCATAAAATTTTCTCGACTTTTCACAAAAGTTATATCACACACATTTATGCCTCACAATAGGCAGCTTATTACAGATTTCAGTTAGAGTTACCGAACATAATAGCTGGTCCTCACAGGCAATACAATTGTCAACCGTCACTAATGTAGGCTGTGGCTTCATGATTACACATGATGAGTTTAGTACTTTAGATCTATAAATTTACGTCACAGAAAGTTTGATTTATGGCCTTGCTTTGTTCAGCACTAACAAACTGAAATCACTACTCTTTTCTTGTGCACATAAATATGATAACATATAGCTTTGGGTTCAGTTCCTGTCGACACACAGATCCATGCTCTAATACATGTTTTTACTTCTGTGTACAGAATATGTTGCAGTGTTGTTTCTTTTTCTTCAAATTTGATCCCTTTCAAAAACATTTTTGCATTTCTTTACTCGTTGCAGGCGTTGATGTCAAACTGGGCCGCTCAGAGGATGGCCAGTACTGGGTGGTCTTGGTTGCGACACTGATCATGAGACGAGCACAGCTGTTAAATGCAGCAAAAGAAATTATTTTTATTGATTCGACATCATCGTGTGACACATCACGAAGCACCGTAACTGTTCTTCTGGCAGCCACGAATGCGGGTGCCGTACCCATCGCGGTATTAATTCATAATGCGCAGTCAGCCCAAGGCTATTGCACGGCCTTTACGCTTCTGAAGGACACTTTCCCAACCTGCTTTGGGGGGCTCAGTGTAAGTTACTTAGCCGATAAAAACTCACAAGTTTGGATTCTTGTCAGCGTTCAAATTCGTGCAGGCTTTGGTGTAAAAGAACAGCAACCATGTGTACCTTAGTAGTTTATGACTAGAGGCCAGATCTTTACACACTGCAAAAGAGTGTTTTTCGTGCTAAATATAAACAGGCAAAACAATTTTTATATATCAGAAATAGGCTGGCAAAACATTTTTTACTCCCTCATGTCGTAAATGCATGCCAGGACATCCCAACCTGTATCTAGGACAGGAAATCAAAAAATGTCGCACCATATCAGCGCACTTGTTTGAGGTAGCCAACACATTCCATTTGACCCCTGCTAGTGGCAGTTTTCCATTAACTTGGTTTACCTAGAAGATTAGCTTAAACACCATGGAGTTCCGAACAGTCAATGTTGCATGGACATGAATAACAGTCTGAAAATGCACTCTAATAAAGAATTCAGGGTTAAATAGTGGTAATATAGGTGCCAATTGTGAATATAAGCATTGATAGCCACTTATCGGTAGTCAGTCACAAATGCCGAAAATTGGCACTTATACACTTTGTCAATGAAGGCTTTCTGGGTTCGGCATAAGACCCTGTAGGCTGTTGTTAACATGCGTGACCCCTAAAAATTGCAGATACACCTTGTCAATGAAGGCTTTCTGGGTGCGGCATAAGACCCTGTAGGCTGTTGTTAACATGCGTGACCCCTAAAAATTGCAGGACTGAAGCTGTGACGTTGGGTTTAGTGCTCCAGTGCAAACAGGCAGTATAAAAGCACTTATCAACCTCTAATTCATGCTCATATATCAAAAGTGGTGCGATAGGAACAAAAAAGGAATTAGCTTGAAATCCGCTCTCTACTTAAGCCCTCTAGTACAAGGATAATTTCAAAGCATTGTGTTTTTGCTATAAGCTTCTATGATGTGTTTTTCACATTCGGTCAATACATATTTTTAATAAGTATTGCGCACTTACTTTTCGGTACTTGAGGAGTGATTCGAAGTAAGTCTCTACATTGGTTCGCCCTAAATTAGAATATGCTGCCTCGGTTTGGGATCCTGTATCTGCCAATCTAATACACTCAGTCGAAATGGTTCAAAATAATTCTACCCGCTTTATTCTTTCCAACTATAACCGCACCGCAAGCATATCGGCAATGAAATCTAGCTTGAACCTACCATCTTTAGCATCTCGCCATCAGTTTCTTCGTTTGTGTCTTTTCCACAAAATATATCACCATCCCCAATTACATAATGAATTTATTTCACTACCAGATTATGTATCACCTCGTCTAGATCATCGTCACTAGGTCGGAGTTCCATTATGCAGAACAAATGGCTGCCACACATCATTCCTACCACGCACGAGCATCGAATGGAATCACCTTCCCGCATCAATAGCAACTATCTAAGATCATGAATTGTTTAAAAACGCCATTAGCTAAGACTGTATGAGTAGGAGCCGCACCACTGTGATAACTGCATATCCATTGCTGCATTTCTGTATTCTTTTTTTTCTTTTTTTTTCTTTTTGTGCTAATACCACTCCCCTCTGTAATACCTCCCGGTCCTGAGGGTACCAATAAATGAAATGAATTATTTTTGTAATAGTTTTTGCAGTGTTATTCGTATAAGTTTACTTGATATTATTCATGCATTATTGTCTGCCATTCCTGCTGCTTTGCCAACGTGTGAACGAAATTGGGACCTCGCCAAGCTCTTAAACTTTTAGTCCTGTACTCCTCCTAATCAAAAGGAAATAAAATGATTGACTGATACACATCACATAAAATACAGCTTTACTGTTACTAGTTGAAATGTTGAAGATCGATTGTTCATTGTCACAAGTGGTACGTTGGCAAAACAGGACAAGCTGTTAATGTTAGATTGAATAGGCATCGCATGAACACAGGGAAAAAATAACCAAAAGCACTGGCACAACATTTTATTGTAGCAGTTCACGACTTCAACTGTATACCTCAAACTTTACATCCTACAAGCTACCAGTCCCCAAGATATAGAAAATGTGCAGTCACACCATATTAAAAAGTTTAATACACTCTGACAACCATAATTCAAAGACACGTGTACAACCCCCCCCCCCCTTTTTCATGGAATAGCCTCTTTCCTATTGTGTCGTGCAACCTCGGGTGTCATTTCAATTCACCAGTGTATTCACGATGCCTGTCTATGCCACTGGATGGAGCGAGGTGTCCAATGATGTCCGTTTTCTGTAGCCAAACTGTGTGGCCACACAAGTCATGTGACTCATGAAATGCTTGCCAATAACCCCTTTTTCCCCTCCTTTAAAATGTGGTAAAATAAATGTTGGACAACATTCTCTAGTATCGCCAGAGTTTCGTCTGCGTGTTGCCACTCTACACACCGTCGTGTTGCCAGGCCTCTCTATCGGCCTGCCACAGGTCACACCATACTACCTGGCAATAAAAAGTTATGACCAACTCAATTCATCATTGTAGTCTGTCATCGTCTCCTTGTACCCCTTCCCCACTTTTTTGCAGTTGCCCTCTCCTCCTGCTTAGCTTGGATTGCAGGAGAGGGAATGAAGCGTACACACATAAGTGCTAAGGGAACCTGTTACAGCACCCACACTTTGTCAACCATTTTGTTATTACAGAGCGTGGGCAACCTGGATATTTGGACAAAATGGTTTCAATTCATTAACAAGAGGACAAAGAAACATCGAGACAAACAGTGATCCTATTTGGTCGGTTGTGAAAGGCTAACCACTTTTATATGGAAGACACTTCACTGCAGTCACTGGCCACGTGCCATGCTGTCTGACACTTT